TCCAAGTTTGACCCAGGGTATTTTGTGTGTATGGCTTTTACGACTTTTGTTTATCAGCAATCTGGGGAAAAAAATAATAGAAGAAAATGTTAGTTTATTTCATAAAGATTAATGGTGTCTAGTGCACTTTCACACGCCCTCCTAGCCTGTTGGCTTTTATCCATCGGAGCCTGCTGAGCCCTGAAGTGATGAACCACTTGCTCTGGACTTCTGCCTCCTACCAAACTTTGATTGTGGGCACTAAGAGGTTTTAAACCCCTTTGCATTACAGCAGTTGCAAGCTGTGGTTTTCTGTGTTGGTGAGGTGTCTAACAGCAGCACCCTGCCCTCGTCTCGGGGACAGGTTGGTGTGGCACCTCTCTAACCACCCTGCCAGCTGCCAGTAGCTGCTATTGGCTCAGCCATCGAGCCGTCAACTGACATCTGAGCTCTCAGATCCCCTGAAAAGTGACAGGACGAGAGAAACTCATTTGGCAATACTTTGCTCTTGCTGTTTGGCCTGGAGAAAGATACTCAAAGTGGTAAGATTGTTTAGCAACAGCTGGCAAGCACCCGGGTGCGAGCCTGATTTTCAGACATGACAGGCACTTACAGGAATGTTGCCAGATACAGCTGTTTAAAAGCCTTAATAAACAGCAAGTCAATACTAATCTTTGCCAAATTAATCTTTTCCTTGACAGCCCATCAGGGCAATTATGCTCAGACTTGTTGTAAACACACAATTGTCAGAGGGTAAGGATCTTCTCCACAGTATACTGTGGATTTTTGCACACAGCTTGTTTTCCAAATAGGAAGGTTTCCTTTTCCCCTTCCCCTCTTTTTTTTTTTTTTTTTTCTTTTTTTTCTTTTCCCCCTCTCCTATTTTATTTTCTAGCCAATTACATGTTTGCCAGCTTGGTATTAGCCTGAACAAAATTTCTTTGTAAAGTGTCTATCGCAGCAAGCCCTTAATAGAATGTGAAATGATGACAGTTGCAGGATCCATGCAGATGCACATTTGCTAGTGGGTTTCTCTAATTAGGCAGTAACTGTGACAGACTCTGAAATGTTACAAGTCATTGTTCTCACTTGTCCTCTTGTCAGTGGAATAAGAACTACATTTGAGTTGTGATTTAATGTGCTGCTGGGTAATAATAAAATACATGACTCTGCAAAGGAAAGCAAATGCTGTCTGTGAGACCTGACACAAAGCACCTCGTGTTCTCTGAGGTGCTCAGCACCTCCTGCAGCACTGCCAGTACACTGTTATACTTACTAAATAATATTTTATTTAAATGCAAAAGGACTTGAAGACACCAGATAAATAATGAACAGGGCAATGGTTGTATATCTATGGATGTATCTGTGTGTGCATCTATGTATCTATCTGTATATGTATATGTATATGTATATGTATATGTATATGTATATGTATATGTATATGTATATGTATATGTATATCTATATATATATGTATATGTATATGTATATGTATATGTATATGTATATGTATATGTATATGTATATGTATATGTATATCTATATATCTATATATCTATATATCTATATATCTATATATCTATATATCTATATATCTATATCTATCTATCTATCTATATCTACATATCAGTGGGAGTTCTGGGCTTGCATACAGCTCTTTAGCTACTTCTCACAGTGTGTGCAAATAAGGATTTTTACCTACTCTGTTTCCCCAGAGCACAAAAAGAGATCTCCATGGATCTGCCATGTTTACAGGATCAGGTAAGAAATACTCAGATACAGTCTTGGAGATGGTAGTTCAGGTTGAGATGAAGTCTCAAAAGGTTGAGGAAGGTGGTGAGAACGTGTTTTACCTTCCAGTAATGAGCTCTTTTATTGTTGGGTTTCCTGTTTACAGAGAGACCTCACAGGGAATATTTGGCAGAGACACCGCTGGAATCAGGAACTGGTATTTGGTGAGAGAGAGAGCAGTGGGCATGAATACATTACACTTCATTGTGAATGACTGGGGCCCTCCATGAATACATTACCTACTGCTTGTAGGTGAATGTGAGAGGAAAAATCCTATAGCAGGTCCCTAAAAGAGCTTCTTTGGGTCAGAGGCAGCAGCTGGATGGGATTTCTGCTTTAACCTCTGTGAGTTTGGTGCTGGAGAGACTGGGACTCATGTCGCTGGAATGAAGCACTCAGAGAGCAGTAGCAAATTCAAAGAGCCTTTCAAAACTTCTGCTTACCTTGGTGCAAGCAAAGGGGATTTACATCCTCCTGAGTGCCTATGCCTATCTTGCATTTTGCCTACCATTTTTAAAAAACAATTTAAAAAAAATATTAATTTCAATTAATGGAAGACATTATTTCCCTTGGTTTCTATCACTTTGACATATGTCTTTATCATATTTACTTGCTGTTACTGTGTTGCTTCAATGTGTAGGTTGCTTCGTTCCTGTGTGCGTGCTCATTATCATCGTTATGACAGATGGTGACTTACAACCAGTGACTTGGGAATGTGTTACTGTGGTGCCTAAGCCACAGTGCTTCAGCGAAGGATGAACTCCAGTGGAGTTTCACCTGCTTACAGAAGGATCTCAGCCTTCTAGGTTCTGTCTACCAGGCTCTTCTCAGTGATGCCCAATGATAGGACAAGGGGTAATGGGTGTAAGCTGGAACACAGGAGGTTCCGCTTAAATTCCAGAAGGAACTTTACAGTGAGGGTGACAGAGCACTGGAACAGGCTGCCCAGGGAGGTTGTGGAGTCTCCTTCTCTGGAGACATTCAAAACCCACCTGGACACCTTTCTATGTGATCTCATTTAGGTTCCTGCTCCGGCAGGGGAATTGGACTAGATGATCTTTCGAGGTCACTTCCAACCCCTAACATCCTGTGATTCTGTGTGTAATTTCTATCTGTCGATACACACCTGAAAACATATAGCAGATTGCCCTTGGCTGGCAACCATTGCTTTTTCCCAAGTTCAGACACAAAGAACGGGCATTTATGCATCAAAGTTGGATCTTTCCTTTGGAACAAAGTGGCTTCAGTACAACCCTGGCCAAAACTGCTCCTCATCCAGCATAGCCGTCCCATCCAAACAGAGCCCAGGCACAGAATCACGCTCAAGGCACTGGACAGGTAAGGTGCTGCACAGTAAGGACACAACAGGTTTCCCTTCTTACAGACTAGGAGACACCAACTAAACAGAGGTTCATACAGAATAAGTATTTTATTCATGATGTATTTTTTTATTTACATTAAAGTTTTCTTGTATTTTGAACTCTACTTGGATACTGAAATTAACAACTTTATGTGACTGCACACCTGCTATAAAAAAAATGGAGATAACACAGTTCCATAAAACTGTTTCCATAAAAGAAAAAGGGAAACTGCCTGTCAAAATCAAAGCTGATTTTTCTCATCCCAAGTAATTATCTTGCTTTAGAATTAATATGAGTGGAAAATGTAGTTTACTATAATATAATAAATAGAAGACATTGGGTAATTAGTAGTGCTGGTATATTTCTAAAGTACTAAACAGACAAACAATAAACTGAATTTAATCACGAGTTCTCATACAGTTTCAAGACAGGAAAATTAGACCTCTCAGCAACAGTCATTTGAGTAATCACATCTGATCTGCATTATTTATTAGTTATTACATGCCAAGTGATTCTGATTGTACATTGCCTGAAATCATTCTAAAGCAAGCATACCTTTGTTTCTCTTTTGTCTTTAAAGAAAAATCAATGGCATTGCATAATGTGTATTTTATCCAAGTTGCTTTCTTTATTTCACATAGGAAATACAAATCAGTGGTACTCTCCATTAACTGGACAGGCTTTGGGGATTAAATCCTCTGGAAATATATTTTCACAGCTATCCCTGATCCAAAACATTGACAAAATACCTTCTTTTGGATTTTTTTTTTTTTTTATCCCTTTCCCCGTGGCTGTAGAACCTACTTTTCACTTTATGATGTAAAACTCTGTAAGACCTTTTGCATATATAATAAAATGGCTGAAACATATTTGGTAATATTTCTGTTGGTAATATTTCCATTCCACTTGACTAATTAACCAAAACTGATGAAATTTCAAGAACCAGCTTTATGCAGTTTTATTCAGCTAGTTTTGTTGGTTCAAGTCTTCATTTTGAGCAACTTTCTGCTACAATGCTTTAAAAAGGGAATTACTTAAAATACTTTTTTTTTTTTTTCTCTTAACAACCAAAGAAATACAGAAATACGTATTAGTTACCTTCATTTTCTGCCAGTAAAGCAGGTTTGGTGTTATATATGTCACTGTAAAAACTAAATAAAGTATTCACATCAGTTGTGAACAATTTGTGCCAGCAAAAGTTAAAGCATCAAAGAAACCTCTTTAAAATGCTAACAAATTTACTTACAAACACCTATATTTATTATTTCATAAATAGGCGCAACAGGTTCCATAAAAAAGATTAAATACAGACACGGTATGAAGAAACAATAATACATAGCCATATGTAAAGGTTATAATTTAGCTGTCTCCAATCTGTTTCTGCATCTAATAAAATACCAGGTAAGCATTTGGCAGTTTTATACATAAAAGGGCTTAAATGATGTTTACTAGCCAGTACACATAAAGTGATTTTCTTTAAAAAAAAAGAAGCATTTTTAGGCAGTACAAAATAAATGTGTTTGCTCTTTATCAATTAGGTTTTTTCCCTTTTTTTTTTTTTTTTTGTTTATTTCATGAGACAAAGCCAATATTATTAATTAATATCATTTGGGAATATTTTATTTTTTTTCTCCAAATACTTTGAAAATATAGAACTATTAGTCAGTTGTTTAAAAATGAAGTAAAAATATGAATGTTTGCCAATTTAATCCTTATTGTGAAATCAATAAACTGGAATGAGCCAGTTTCAATTACAATTAGCTACAAAAACATTCACATTTTATACTCTAGGAGAGTGTAACATAGATGCTATTTACAAACTTGCTATGACTGCTACATCAAGCCATTTAAAAAGTCTTTAGTAGTTTCATATAAACACCCATTATGAAAAACCAATGGAAAATCCAGGACTTTTATCCAAGACATCTACAGTTGCTAAGGCAGTTACTATCGCAGCACTTCACAGCAAAAACCAACATAAAATCTGAATGGTCCAAGTTTCCTTCAGGGAAGAATAAAAGCAATGTCCGATAAAGGATCTCAGGGTAGGGGTGGAAAGGAAAAAGAGAAAAAAAATGGGTGGGGGGACGGGGAAGAAAGAAAAAGAAAGAAGCAAGACTATTTTTCCCAGAGTGGGTGACCCACAAGCTCAAATAGTCCTAAGTGCTTAGCAACTTGTATTTCCTAATAAAATGCAGAACTGCCTTGACTGCATAAAGCAATCCATGATGAAAAGACTTCCCTGCATTCCTCAGTGGAAAGGAGAGGTGTTTCAGATTTTCAGGTAAGGTAGAGCGCTTTGTCCCTCTGCATGCCCCTGTTCAAAGAGAAAAAGAACAAATGTGATTTTTCAAAATTTTGTAAAATTTTTAGTCCTATTCTTCCAAAAAAAACCCCACAGCCCTATTGCATGTCATTAATTCCAAGCATATCACTGAACTACAGCTGCATTACCATGGTGATAACAAGAAAAATCCTTGTGCCATAGTGGCATGTAGCAACCTGGAGACTACATCTGGCTCTAAACTAGACATGGGTTTAAGCCCTGTTTTGGGACCACCTGCACTAGTGGGTTGATAGCACTGACTATCCCTCTCTCACAGACCACATAGGTACAACAGAGGGTTTCGCACTGGTCTTGGAACAATACTCCTTAAGCACCCTATATGACGTGGCCACTTTCCTTAGAGGGTAGCAGAGCTTGGGAACATGAACATGTGTGCCAGACACTGAGATCTCTAGCCCATTTTGTTTACTGATACAGACACAGCCAAAACATATTGGATGGCAGGTTCAGGTAAGCATGCAGAAGGGAACACCAAAAGCTTCTGGCAGAGTCAACTAGACCAACTCTCTACTGAAGACCAGGCTCTACAGGAGACCTTCCACCAAGGCACTGTGTCTAACGCACTTTTACATTCAATTCTTGCTGAGTCTCAGCTTCAACAGAACCATAACAGTTCAGAGCAAAAAGGAGTCATTTACCAGTTCCTAAATCAGAACAGTCTGCAGAAGTCAGAAAAAAAAAATAACATTTAAAACAGAAAAAAACATCACTGATGGGGCCTGGTTCACACTGCAGAGATTTTCTGGGAGAGAGGCTTTACTCTCAATCTCCTTCCTTGCCAAAACCCAGGTACCAGTTCTGTTCTTCCACAGCTTCACAGCTTGCTTGGTTTGGAGTCTGGGAGCAGCACTGGCTGCTCACAGAGTGAGCTACGCTGCACTGGCAATTTATGCCAATAAATTTGCAGAGATTTGTTAAATCCTTGTACACAGATTCACAAAGCCCTATCTACATAGGCTCTGCTCAGAGAAAGCTTCTGCTGATGGATAGTTATGCCCAGTGGGCACTCAGAGGGTGCTGCTGGAAATGGTCACACATTGTTTTTTCCAGAAGAGACCAGGAGTCAAAGTCACAGGTGGCTATGGCCTGTTTGACAGAGGACAGTCTATTCAGAGCTCAGTTTAAGTGGGTATAAAAGTCTGTGGGCTGGGTAGGCTCCTACAAGGGCCTGCAGCACAGATCAAGACATTATGGTGGTACAGCACAGAAGCAAGATCGTTCTGCTGAACAAGTGGGCAAATCATGGGGCAACAGGGATAGCCATGGGGGAAACTGATGCTGCTGTGCATATTAGTTAAAGTTTGCCTCAGTGTCAGCAGATTCTAGTCAAGGTGTTACTCTGAGCTAGTAACCAGAAAAAGATTTTTGTTCAGTTCTAGTTTGAGTTCCAGAAATACTTTAAAACAAGAATGCAAGTGACATTCTCAGTTTGAGTAAATGTAATGAGTGAAACTGGTCTTTAGTTCTGCTTTGTGTTCATTCATCTGCACTGGATTTGACACTTTGGTACCAACCAAGAGCTTTTATCTGCCTTTGCCTTGGGGATACACGCCAATGTCAAGGGGAGGTCAGGCTGGTGGGCATGTTCACAAGGCACAACACCTATCATTTAAAACTCAAAAGATACCTTTTTTTCAGAGTTTTAAATGTTCCCAGGCAGTTCTGGGGACAGTAACATGGCCCCACAAAAAAACATGCTGCAGAGGAGTTGTTGGCTTTGAAGGGGACACTAACCTTATGGAAGGGGCACAGAGCTCCTACAGGTATGGTGTTTTGTTTCTGGTTACAGTCATGTGATCTTCACGTCATTCCCTTCCACATATCTTGTATCACACGCATCACCCCTGCATCTCACTGATGTGGGTTTTCATAACCCAAACTAGTTGTTTTCACTAGTAGCAAGCTCTCCTCAGCAATGGAGTACTTGGAGAAAATAGTTCATGCCATTTGCCTCTTAAGTAGGAGGTATAGGAGGCAGTGACCTTAACAATCCATTCCTACACATCCCTAAGCTTTCAGTTCTGATTTTCTAAGGAATGGAAGTTCTCTAAGACCAAAGTGTATGTGCTGTGATAAGGTGTCAACAATGTCTAATAAACATATGTATTGAAAACTTGTTCTCCCACAACAGTACAACTGCTGAATAAATACAGTGCCATCACAGATGCACTTCTATAATACTGTAGGTAAACAGGCAACAAAGCTGTTTCCAAATTGTCAGATACTCGTGTCATGAATACTGCTCAACGCAAGGTGGCAATCACTGGCTGCTTACCCATTACTGCAGTAGTCATTATTCCAGTCCACAGTCTGTGCTGGAGGATTTCTGCACCCTGAACGAACATACTCCATTGCTTGAGTAACAACTTGTGCAGCTGTTGATGTTGGATTGATGATATTCTGATATTCAGGCTGAAGAGAAAATCCCTAGAGGAGAAAGCAAGTACATTACAATGTATGGAAACCAAGCAACAGGTTGGGTGAATTAAAAAAACCCAAATGGTGTGTACTGTGAAATGGTAGCGTACTTCTTTTCCAGGTGTAATGTAGGTTATAAAACTTAATGTAATGTAGGTTATAAAACTTAAAATAACAAAAAATGTGTAGGTGCTTCCTAAATTTTAAAATCTTTCTTTAATTTAAGAAACGAAGCACTGCCAAATCATTGTTAGCTATTACACAGTCACAGGATGACAGTAAAAGGGACAGAGCAGAAAGAATTCAAAACCAAGAGAACAACTCAATCAGCACTGGGGCAGAGAGATCTGTTTGCTCCTTAGAGCTTCCATTTAGATTAAATGTAAGGACACACACAAGCCGTTAATTCCCAGAATATGCAACAGTATCTTTTTGAAGGATGTAGGCAGCAGGTGGCTGACTGTTTTATTAGACTACACCTATTCACATATTGTTCTCAAACCCCTTTTTCTTAATTCAGTCACAAAGGGACCATCTGCTGCTTCTTTTATTTGTACTTCTCTCTCAACTAAACAGAAATTCAACCAAAGCTTTTTAACAGTTGTTGGACTAATGTAGTGAAAGTAGCACAGAATAACCTGCTTTTTGAAGCCAAGAAGATGAGGAAAAAAAGTGGGAGTTACAAAGAGGCATCTAACCGGCTCCCTGAACTATCTGTCATATGAAAAGTCATAATAATTTTTAGCTCTTTTGATATATGAAGATGTTTAAATGCTGTGCTTCAAAACCAGGAGAACAATTGAAATTTCAAGGCTAGTCTATCTGGTTCACCCTGTATAAATGTACATCATGTTCCTGTAAAATTAGAACCACATTGGGTAAAAGTATGGGAATGCCATAGAAAACCAAATGTTTGCTGAAAGAAACTGGACCAAAGTCCTTCCTGGGGCAAGGGCATACAATTTCCACTCAAGTTAACTGGATGTATAGCTCCTAAACTAGGAACTGAACTTGAACCAAGACACAGTTCTTCTGGCCAAAGTCCACATACAGAACAGATAGGATTAAAGCTCATAGCTTTTCATTTTAAACTGTAGTGGATTATGTGCAATTGCTTCATATACACAGCCTTCATTAAGACAGGAATTTTGGAAGAGCTGTTTTTTTTCTGTAAGTTTAACAAGTCAGCCACACTACTTTTGATCAAGACAAATGAGTATTCCCAGTTTCTCCCTGGCCCACTTAATCCCCAGAAATGAGCTTCCTTCAAATATAACATGCCACTTCCTTCTTCACATCCCTTTTTCTTGGTGGGTTGTACTCCATCTCTTCCCCAGAGGTCCTGCAGTTGTTCTGCACTGCCATGCCTCTTATGTACACCATCACCTCACTCCACTCATCCCAACTGCAGATTCTCGTCTAGGCTGTAAATAAGCATAACTTTCCTCCATAATCTCTTCCATAAGGAAGATATCCCAATCCACACCGCAGTACCTTAAACAGTCTCTGAAGCCTCACTTTGTCCCTGATGACTTCAAGAGACAGATCATTAGCAGTGGGCAAGTTCACAAGCTAAATTCAGCATGTACTTGTCATGTAACATATACTGCCTTGCCAATAAGGTAAAAAAAAATCCACCCGTCATGACCGTAACCCCCATGGTCTACACACAACGTTTTCACCAGGCTTTAAACCTGCACATCAGGCTGCATAAACAACCCCCATGCCTGCAACCAATCTAAAGGAAACTGTAATTGAGCAGACTTCCCAATGACTTTAATTAGAAGGCAGAAAAATGGGGTTTGTATATCTTCATCACAATTTTTATACAAAACATCACCCATATGGCCTTTCTAATCTAGCTGTAAGAGGAAACCATCTACAGAAACACATCCTGCCCTCAGGCACTCAGGCTTACCTTTAGTAGCAAAGCCCCTGAGCTCTCTCTTATCAGTCTTCATGAAACAATCATATACAAGAAAAATTCTATACGGGGTCAGTAGCTCCAGCAGTGCTGTAGTGAAGCATGCAAGTGAGCAGGCACAGAGGCTCAAGTACTCATGCAACAAGAAGACACAGTTCCCCAAATAAAAGGAAGAAACCATCAGTGCAATGTTCATTCCATTTCTTCTAGATTTAGGACAAATAAAATAGCTTAGATACTGGAGGATGGGCCTGTGGTTTAAATGCCAGCTTGGAACTGTGTGGGGACTGATTCTGATATTTTCTCAGGTTTTTTGTGACCAGAGCCAAATTGCTTTTGCTCTCTTCCAGCAAAGCATGCGTGCATTTGCGTTGGGACTGAATATGTCTCATGTTAAGGTTGGGACCTGGCAAGCCTGTTTAATTAATAACTGCCTGGGATAGGGGCCTGTTTCTTAGGACATGCTCATGTGGTAAAATTAAGGTGGTGCAGAGGTACCTGAGCCAGGCTCCAGCTCCAGAAGTAGTTTAGCTGCTGCAGCTCAGCAGTCCCACCGGGGCTGAGGGCTACTGGATTACCAGCAATGTGTGTGTTGGAAAGCATACTTGTTAAGGCAAAGTAATTTAAGAAACCTGAACTCAATGTGAAAGACTGATAAAGTATGGTGACGTTTAAAGTATAAACAGTAATTACTTCAGCTTTTTAATCAACAGAAAAAGCTCTGGAAATACAGAACTGTACAACAGAGGGAGACAGACTTGTACCAGGCTCGTAGTAAATATTTGTGTATTATTTATGTAAGCCCTTAACAAACAATGATGAAATAAAAAGTGCTCAGAAAATGAGTGCTTTGAGGTCTAATTAAACAATGCTGAATGTTTTTGCATTGTAATGCTCAAGAGAAAATCACCAACTGTTTTGCAACATGCCTTGAATGTTAAATTTCATTTTCTTGTTCCAGATTGAAATAAAAATAGGGAACTTGATAAAGATTAATTCGATGTCAGGAGGGACATTTGCTCTTTAATTAGATTTCTGTAGCCCTAGCAGTTTCGTTGTGCCACTGTAGCAAGTCCTAAAAAGCCTGCAGCAGAACTAAACAGTGATCTTCATCTCCACACTTTACTGGGAACTAATTTCATTTCCTGCCTGTCTGGAGAGGTATTTTCAACAGGCATCAATGTTTTTGTCTTCACAACTGATTTATTCATCAATCTCAATGTGATATTTTAAACCTTTAAATTACATCCAAATCCTAAAGCATCTGTTTATTACACAAGGAAATTGAAAATCTGTCTGTGTGATATCATACAAAGATTTTTCCTTAAGGTTATAAAGGAAGTTGACAGATATTAATGGTTTTTTTTTTTCTCTTGACCTCATTCGAAGACAAAGCTTAGCAAAAAAGAGGAAGAAATCTGGACAAATACAGCAGGTCCATGAGTTTACTGTATACAATATATACCAGAAAAAATGAGACTATTATTTTTGGCAGGCTATGCAATCATCTTGCTGTATACATTTATTTTCTAAAGGAAAAGAAATACCTAAAAGTAGACTGAAAGGAGTTATTATTATTTAAAAAAAAATGACATACATTGATCTTCTTCTTTGTTATGCATACCCTTGCAGCCATGGTTATTAGACATTAGAATCTAGTTTTGCTTGCTCTACCTGTGACCTGAAGTGGGACAGGGATTGTATTGGGACACACCACCCCACCCAATGCTTGGGTGAAAGATTTTAAGAAGGGAAGGTGATGCTTCCAGAAGGGCTACTGACAAGGGTTCCTTAACAAGTAACCTATTTGGGAGGGAGTCAACCTTGGTCTCATCAATCTTCACACAAAACAGCACAGTACACCAGGCTGGAAGGGGGATGTGGAGGGAAAATGCTCAGAAAGAAGCACAAGTGTCTGTCTGAGTACAGAAAGGAAAAAAAGACTTTGCAGAAGAAAACAGGTTGCAGTTTCAGACACCATTTTAGCCTGAACTTCGGAGAAATCATGCTGATTTGAATGACAAGGGTTAAGCTTCAGATCACCTGATACCAACTAAATAAGAATTAAACATCATGTCAAACCTAAGAAACAGATTGGAGAGAAGTAACTCTATATCAGTCAAAACAGAGTACAGTGATAAGATGCGCACAGAAGCATTTAATGAAAGAAAAATCACACTCTTCTAATCTGCTGCAATTTTTCCAGTGTGGCAAAAGTGGATGAAAGAAAATCTGCTGCACAGTGGATTTAGACTTTAACAAAATAAAACTTTAACACGGCTGCTGTTAATAATATTTCTAAAAAATACCATATATTTCAGAATTAGAAATTAAATATCATAAAAATCAGTAACTAATTTAAATCTAAGTATGAGAATAGAACTAAATGGTCATTTTTTTACAGTGTAAAGGGTCAACACTGTAAATAAGCACCCCAAAGGTCTAAAGTAGTGCCCCTTATTAATTTATTAATTAACCATTTTGGAACAGAAAGGAATAGAGACAAAATAGTCTACTTTGCAGAACTTACAAAAAATATTTAGATAACAAACTAGAGAAGACTGTTTAAAAGAAATTAAAAAATATTTACTAATGCCAGGCATACAACCAAAATGCTAATACCTAAATTTTACTTTCCCTTGTGCATTTCAGAACAATTTGGATGCATTACATCAGCTGCATATTCCACAGAATTAATTGATTTTAAAAATAACATAAATTCTGCATTCACCGAGGATTTTTGGTTACCAACTCTTCTCATCTTCTCAATGTTCTTTAGTCTCCTGGAGGAGATTGCCCTTCTCCAGCTGGCAGTGTCTCTTGGTTTGTCAGTTGCACACGTGCAGGCAAGGGCTACTTGAAGTGGAGAAGGACATGTTGTTCCCTGTGGAGCTGATGAAGATCAGCTCATTGTCCTGGCATCAGTGGGGGCAGAACTCTCTCTCTAGGTCAGCACTTCTTATCAGTCCCTCCTCAAAGCTATGCACAGAAGGAGAGTTCGTGGATTTCATGCACAGTGGTTTTGGACAACTGTGTTCCTGCCTGCCAGGACTGAAATCTGGATCTTTATGTGTTTTTTCTTGGAGTTGGCAGTCCTTCAGACGTACTACAAGATGATCTTTGATTAGAAACTATCCTCCCTCTCCTGGAGAAAACAAGTGACCATATCTCCCAGAGCCACCAGTGTTAAAGCAGGGGATCTGTAGAGAGCAGGGATTCCCAGAGCCTGCTACTAGAGCATCACACTAGTAAGCCACAAACTATTTCAAAGATGGATGTTGGGGAAAAAAAGGAAAAAAATCAGAACCCACCACCAGTGGGAGCTGTGACTGCTGCTACTAACATGCCTACACCACGGCTGGCTGTCTGCAATGGTGGTGCCCAGCCAGGGAAGTCTGCAATGTCTGCAGAAGACTGCTGGGAAGCTGTTGGAAGACTTACTCTTCTCTTGATTATTAAGCTTCATGCTGCAGTGTGACATGAGAAAATTTACCACATTTCTTCTTAAAGTGTATTAGTCTGTTTGCTATGAGCAGTGGTGAGGTTTCTGAAAAGGAAACTGCTTCCTGTTGCAAGTCACGCTGTAGGGAGCAGGATGTTAATTAGTTTCTGTTCTTGCTGCTTATATAAATTAGATGCCCGCTGGACTCTTTGGAAAAGGCTTAGGGTGGCCACACCTTTAGCATGGAGGAAATCAAACAGTCGTGGGAAGAGGAAGTGAAAAAAAGTTGAATTAAAAGCAACTATCACTTCTGCTTTATCAGCTACATGTTCTCCCATTCTCCTTGGCTGTCTTTCTATGTAGCCGAGTGGTCTACACTGTGCAGCTGGGGACCTCATATCCAGAGTCCTCCTTCCCTCCTCACCACTGGTCAGACATACAGAGTGGTGCCTCTTCTTTGCCCTCATCATTTGGAGGGCTCAGGTTTTTTTTCCACTGTGTCTTTTCCTCTTTATCATGCTCTGTGATCAGCAGAATGTTTGTTCAGTTTTGAGCAGAAGGGAGAGCAGAGTCCTTTGACAACTGAATCAGAAAGAGGCCTTTACTTTCAGGTTACAGTATCTGGACTTCTTGCTATTTGCCTCCTTTTGGCCAACCTCTCCTCCATGTTCTAAGGCAGTATGAAATCCTGAGGATAGTATTCTGTAACACTTCTTGAGTATGACTAAGCAAGAGTCAGGATACCACTGTTCTGCTCTGGCATGGCAAATCATAGCAGTATTAGTACACCTGTTGCCCTAAAATTTAATACTGTTTGCTTTGTCTTTGCCAACATCACTCTTTAAAGCATAGATTCATAGAATGTATTGGCTTGGAAGGGACCTTCAAAGGTCAGCTAGTCCAACCCTCCTGCAGTAAGCAGGGACATCTTTAGTAGAGCAGGTTGCTCAGAGCCCCATCAAGCCTGACCTTGAATATCTCCAGGGACAGGGCCTCCATCACCTCTCTGGGCAAACTGTTCCAATGATCTACCACTCTCATATTGAAGAACTTTTTCTTAATATCCAAACTAAATCTACCCTTTTCTAGTTTAAAACCATTACCCCTTTTCCTATTGCTACATGCCCTTGTGAACAGTTCTTCCCCAGCTTTCTTATAGGCACCTTTCAGGTACTGGAAGGCTGCTATAAGGTGTCCCCGGAGCCTTCTTTTCTCCAGGCTGAACAACCCAAAGTGTCTCAGCCTGTCTTCATAGGAGAGGGGCTCCAGCCCTTTGATTATTTTTGTGGCCCTCCTCCGGACATGCTCCAACAGGTACATGTCCTTCTTGTGTTGAGGGCTCCAGAGCTGGATGCAGTATTCCAGGTGAGGTCTCACCAGAGCAGAGTAGAGGGGCAGAATCACCTCTCTCAATCTGCTGGCCACAATTCTTTTGATTTACCCCAGGATGCGATTGGCCTTCTGGGCTGCAGATGCACATTGGTGGCTCATGTCCAGCTTTTCATCCACTAGTACCCCCAAGTCCTTTTCCTCAGGGCTGCAAATGGTTTCTATACTCAAACTCAATTCACAAACCCTGTAAACTGTTGTATACTACTAATAATAATAATAAAATTACAAATATTCTAAAGTGAAATTACATAGATTTTCCAGATCTCAAAAGCTGTATTACTTTGAAACAAAAGCAGGAGCATAAGAAATGTAAACTGGTTTGCAGATGTTCCACAGTGCTTAGAGAGAAATTAAATTAAGATTGGCGGTGTAGCATTTCAACAGGTAATAAGCACTTGTCACCTTGAGTGAAGCTCAGAAGTATCTCATCATGGTATCTTCATTATAAGCATCAGTCTTTCTGACTAAGGAATATAAGTAGCTAAAAAGTATTTAACCTAACCTTTCATGAGTTTAACAATGGAGAGCAGGGACACGGAGTTATAGCATTTTTAAATTTACTACACTTGTACTTAGTAAAGGAAAAGACTCATAATGATACAGGTCTACATATTGACTTCTAGACATCTGTTTTCTACAACCTAGTGTCCTGTAGACATAAGGTGTTTGATCTTCCAAAGCTCTGCTCTGCACAAGTAATGTACAAGTGACACTGAACTTGGCAAACAATCTGAACTTGGAAGACTGAATCACTTCTCAATAAAAACTCGCTGAAATATAACTATACAATGTCAGCAGGCTGCTGTCACAGATGTAGTTTTTCATGTTTAGTAAATGAATCAGGGTACTGCATTGAGTTTCTGTATATTGCTTTGTCTCTCATTGCTCTGAGCCTCAATCGTTCAACCACGATTCCATCAAGCTTAGGATCTCCAGACTCCTGGCTCACCTGTCTAGGACTTCCTCCAGCTAATTCTGGCTCCTCAGGCTTGGGGTTAGCTCCTGAGTTTATCGGAGATTTGAGCATGGGCTCTCCGAGGACACTGGCTTTCTAACTAATAGGAAAACCTTCAGGAATACATGACAGTAAAAGACACCACATTTGTGTTGTCATAAGTCTGTTGGGTCTGTTTACTCTGATCGTGAAAAATAAACCGGACTTGTAAACACTTTACAAATTTTCCTTCCTGTCTAATTACTCCAAATCACTCTGATCAAAGTCTTTGAAAAATTCCAGATCATTCTGAGTGCACCTTGGTTTACCTTCTGAATAACTAGATTTATCAGTCCAGATTGCTTTCAACTCTTTTTTTTTTTTTTTTTTTTTTTTTGTCCTGCTGTGGAAAATTTCTTTCCCTGTTAAAATTTCTTTCTCCAAGCTAGAAGCTGTGTTTTGTCTTCAGGTATTCCCAACTCTAAAGACCAATCTTGAGAGGAAATGTTTCTGGCTTAGAAAGCAAATGCAAATGCCTTGTTAGCAAAGCTGAATTTACGGAGATATTCAAAACATGCAGCAAGTTCATGACTATGCATTATCAACCAAAACTGACAAGCTTTGTATGCAAATTTTGTAGATTCTTGAAACTCCATCAAAAGAATTTTCATTCTAATGCCTCTTTGCAAAGCAAGATCTTACTATTGATAGTCGGATCTCATCCAACAGAAAAGGAAATTTTCTCTCATGAAATCAGCAGAGTGAATGTGCTCTAAGCCTCTCCATAGGCCTGGGCGCAAAAGTCACAATCCTATCCTATTTGCCTGCGTTCATTCAGAAATCCTGAATCAACTCTAAAACACTAAGAATGAAAAAGAAAAAAAAAAGCCACCATATTGGGATACAAGAGACAGCCCACTTGTTTCCAGTAAAGAAAAGGTATATATAGTAAAATGAAGTTATGAATGCAACATAAACTAACATACTCATGTTCACTTAATCTAGCATGTTTAATACCACCTGTGTTGCTTCATATTCCCTCTGATTGTTCCACATCACAGTCAGCACAAGGACAACAGCAAAAGCTAAAAGCATAACTTTTTCTAGACATGTCTGCCTTTTTTAAAAAAATTCTTTTTCCCAAAGACTCAGTATTTCACTTTTATTTCATGGTACTCCCAGATTTGCAGATGGATTGATGGACACACTTCTATTTAAAGGATGCCTCCTGAGTCTGGGGGAGAGACAGGTCTAATGTTCAGAAGAATGTGATGAACGTTGCTGCTAGCACAAACAATTCTACTCAAGTTCCCCATCATCTAGGTAAACTCATGCATTTGTTCTTGCCTTTGAAAGACTAAGCCCTGAAACTCTACTACTACAGTTTTGGAACTCTGCAAAGTTAAAGTTAATCCATAGCTTTAAATTTCCCTCACCATGTCAACTTCTGGATAACCTTTCCTCTCCCCCAACCCCCTGCCCACGCAAAAAGAAAATTCCCCAGATAAGGAAAGATCAAACTTACTTGCTGCATTGTAGGTGAATGCAAAGCAGACTGGACCTGCATCGGTAGCTGGTTCCCAATGGACTGCTGCATTGAAATTGGCTGGTGCTGCTGGATGTTGAGATGCTGGTGCAAAGGGGGGCTGATCTGAAGAGGCGGCGGTGGGGACACAGCCATGTTTGCTATGGAAACAGTCACTGGCATTTGGTTGTTGGGCTTGGGTGCTATGTTCCTGGGGATATTGGCATGCATGGCAGTGATGTGAGGATTCATTCCTGGTTGTTGGTGGTAGTGGGAACTGAGGTACAGTGCAGAGTGAGTCTGGGAGGCCCCATGAAACACTGACTGCTTTGAATTCATCATCTGAGGTTGTGGGGAGGCTTTAACGTCAACAGGTTCACTGTAGCTCTGTTGAGAAAAACAAAAAAACAGACAATACTTAGAAGCTACAAAATGCTGCTTTCTACTCCCTGGAGTCTGTTTAAGGGCCACACCATGGGAAAATACATATCTAGACCATCAAATTGTCCTTGAAATGGAGTTTGGTTATTACACTAGAAAAATAATTTATCCCTTTTATCTTACAATTTTCTCTTCAACATTGTGAAAAAATAAGTTAGCTCCTCTGTTTCCTGGTCTAGCATGACATTTTGCTGTTTCCAAACTTGGAAATGGCATCACTGACCCAATAACGTACACAACAAAGACAACTAAGCCTGTCATATTTATTCACATAAGCAGCCACAATCCTGAAATTTGATGGCCTAGTTGAAAAGAGATTCAGGAGGATGGGTTCCAGCAAAAGTCTGCAGTGATCTTTGACATGTCTCATTTTCCCATCTGCAAACCAGGGATAAGAACTTCAGTGTCCTTTACCATACATGTTGATAACTGCTAATAGTGCTTTATCAGTTAGCTAACATGATGAAGAGGCTAAGCCCCTTCCACAGCTGTCCTACTGCATCAAATAAATATGCTAGTTGCTGTGCCAAAACCTTTACTTTGAAGTATTCTGTGATGGGATGCTATCCACGCCAGTATGAAACATGTTTAATGAGCCACGTGTTCAGAAAAATAAGAATATTCTGAATAAAGCAAAAATTCCTTTGTTAATCCAGTTCATAAAGTTCTGAAAATTCTGTTTAAAACTGATGTGTATATAAATGTTAGACTATACCAGACACAGAGAAGCTATTTTACTAAATCTGGAAGAATATTGCATAAAATATTAGACAATGCACAGATTTTAGGAAATGTTATGGTCTACCCTGATTTCCTAAAGCTGCTAGTAATAAAAACTTTCCATTAATGAATGTAAATTTTAATAATACTTTTTGTTATAATATTTATAACTTGTTACATTTGATTTAAACTCAATTTGTTATGTTGTTTTCTATATCCTTATTTTCTTTATATCTTCTCAGTGCTAACTCTGTATGCTCAAATAAATGATGAAAAAATTTAAGAATTAACTCCCATGAGCTTGTAGGTGGGAGTCACAATTTGCAATTAAGTCATACTGGGATTAATAGTTAGTGAAAGGTGAAACATGCTGGAAAAAAATGGCAGAAATGTCCCTCTGGAGAAAGAAGTCCCTTTGTCAATGCAAGGGCTGAAAGATGCATATGTGCCCTTATTCTGTGACCTCCATGTCATGTTTGCTCAGTTTACAAGTCAGAGTAAGTTTCATGTTACTCTCAGCACTCGAGGGTCAGCGAAGTCTATTTGTATTCTTTCTGAAGGATGTACCATCCCCAACAACCTGCTGACACATGTGTTACTGAAATTGCTTCATTATAGGCGATGATCATGATGGGAAAGAGAACTTCATTTTCCCTAAGTATAACTGCCATTACATTAGGCAAAAATCTTGTTTTCTCTAGTAAACTAAGGAAAATTACATGAATATGATAAAATGAATGAAAACCTCTGCCTCTGTGGCTCTGCCTGGCTCTGCTAGCATGTGAGTGTACATGTGTGCGATATGTATTATATGTCTGTTTGCAGGATTCAGACACAGACATAAAAACCCACAGATAGTAAATGATAAAACTTGAAAGCAGGTGCAAAATCTGCCATTTTGGGGGTATTAGTTTTAAAATACTAAACTAATGTTCATGACAACATGAGAAATATTTTCCCCTTCTCTTCCCAGTTTTATTTGTAGGACACACTTGTGAGTGTGGGAGCAAAGACTGGCAGCTTGGCTGATTAGAGAGATTCAGAAGAAGGTTTGCTAATTAGCAGCATGGTCAGGACCCTCCTCTTGAGTGTCCTGGGCTCTTTACACATTACAGGAAGTGTATGCTGTGTTCTTTCTTGAGAAACTTTAAGTTTTACTTAGTGCATCATCCTCTCATGAAAACACCTTGCCTTTCCATGGTGTAGCTGGCAGACACTATCTGGTCCAAGCAGGCTTAATTGCTCCTGAAGTGTCTAAAGGCAGGCTGGTTAAACAATTCCTCATGGTGAGGAGGTATCAAAAACCCTTTGCAGTTCTGTTAGTGGCACATTGATATATACTCATATTTAATTTGTGACTACAAAGATGCTGCCATCCACCTCTTTAACAAAGATATGGTGAACCAATTTAATTATTGAGTAATTCTGAGTTCACACGTAAGTGGTGAATGCATGGCCCATACTGATAAAATTACAGAGATATCAGATACTTAGTATCATTTAATACTTGAATTACCAAATTATGTTAAGAGGAAGTGTACAGTTTCTGTCAGGAGATGAATAACACTTGTTTTACCTCTGAGAAGAATGTCTGCAAAGTGATCAAAAAGGACTGTTCCAGCTGTCTCAGGCTATCAATCAGCTTTCTATATGTTTCACTACCTCCTGATCCAGTGAAAAGCACAACACTTCAGTTTCAAACCCAGTATTTCGCTGTTACTTAGAACGCTTTAAATCATATGTGATCTGAAGCCAAATTGTCCAATATCAGTGTAAAACACATCAATATTATCAGTTACTGGGAATCTTGATAAATGAACCCATTAAATGCCTTTCTCCAGCATACTGCACTTTCAGCTTTTTCTAAGGCTGGGTCAGAAACACAGATTTTGTAAGTATTGCAGAAGCTAATGGAATAGGTGATGTAAAATATTTTGGCTTTGTTATGTCACTTTACTGTCAAATATAGCAAGAGATGTATATGATGCATAGGTCATGTCATTACTTCAGGTCCAATTACTGCTTCCACAGATTTGAGTGGGCATTGCATTTGTCCAGTACAGCATCAGACAGTCTTAGACAAGGACTAAGGGTACCATTTTCTCCTGGGCTGGTTTCGATTGGACACAAGAGGCAAATTTTTCACAATGAGAACAATCAGCCATTGGAATAATCTCTCCAGGGAGGTGGTGGATTCCCCAACATTGGACACTTTTAAGATTCAGATGGAGGGGGTGCTAGGCCATCTTGTTTAGACCGTGCTTTTTCCAAGAAAGGTTGGACCAGATGATCCTTAAGGTCCCTTCCGACCTCTTATTCTATGATTCTATGACTTTTATTATGGATAAAACTAGGAATTAATAAAGAAGGGATTTGATTAGCCAATATGGGCTTCAAGTGCACAGTCATGTTCCCTGTCTTTGCAGGTTGGAATTCAGTTGACTTGCTCTTGCCTTATCCAAGGAGAAGAGCACAGAAATAATTTTTTTAAAAACCCCTCTAGTTCATTAATCTGCCCAAAGCCAACATAGGCAATTTACATCTCTAATTTTTGGCATGAAGTATTAGGATACAATTCATTTACAGATGTATGCAGTGGAGACCAAAATTACAAATCAGTACACACAGGCCACCAAACATTTAAGCTTAGTATCTGCTACATGTAACAAGGTCTTCTACTAAACAGGCAGTGAGAAAATCTTTTAGCACTATCAGAAGCATGGTGTTGTAGACCCACCACTAGAGGGTGACACAATATTATATTTAGTTAATGGTAGGCTGTAGATATGTTCACATACATTAGTGAATATACACGAGGACCACAAACTAGCTTTTCCTGACAGTCCTTCATGCTCTTTGAGTGGCTTCTACTTGTTCGGGAATTCTCTAACCAAGTTAGTCTAAATATTTCAAGTTCTTCATAGGCTAGGGGTAGGGTTTCTTATGGACCTGCCTCTCCATCTAACATCATCACCTAATACTATTGCCTAAATTTTTTAAAAAAGGAATAATCAGAGAAATAATCAGAAGGTGAAGACAAGGTAGGTAGGCGATGGCAATGAAATCCTACAGAAAAAAGTATGATTGTCCTTTAGGCACAACACAAAACCATTTTATTTTTCCCCATGAGAATCTATTGTTTTACTGAAACATGAAGAAAAAGAGGGAAGAACATTCTGAAATCCCAAAAGAAAGGGAATGAAAGTAGAAGAGAAATAGGGAAAGGAAGGAAACAAAATAAACACTACTGTAACTCTGATGATAGTGAATATAATTATATTAATTAAAAGTACTGAAACACAACCCTCAGTCCACATTTATTTTACTTGTATCATACTTTCAAGGAAATGTGTGGTGATACAGATGAGTGATGTTGTTCAGAGAAAGTGTTCAGAGTTGATAATTTTGCACAAAGTTTGGGGAGTGCTGAAGCAAGTTCTTCCCCACAGTTATTCCCCCTAAACTCATGCTCTTCCTTCCAATTCAAGAGCAAAGCAAACTTTTACATCCACCTTCTACTCTCCTATTGTGTGCCCAAAATCCTTATGCATAATTGCCAAATTAAAGAATTAAATTAGGTTAAAGGGTTAAGCATTGCTCATCCAGTTATGCTATTAGTTTCTAAGGAGAACTGCCCTGGGACTAATGGTCCTTCTTATCACAGAATGAATTCAGGCACAGCAGTGGGGGGGAGGGAGGGGGGGGTGTCAGTTCCTTAGAGGAAAGTGACACTGGGATCTCATTCACCCTGAAACATCCAACTCACTCCTACAGTTGAGCAATGATTTTTGGTACAGATATCCTGCCCAATTTAGTGGTGTCAGAGAAAACAGCAACAGCCTAGTAATGCCATTCTTGCATCTCCACAGCTTGCTTTGGGATACAATTTTACTTGCACTTTGAAAAGTCACACTTTAAAACCTCACCTGTATATCTGGGTAACCAAACAGCTGTTGAAACCTACACATGGGTTTTGATTCTCTTTCTAACTTGTGGCTGGCTTTTGGCTACTGTTGGGTCTTCTAAACCCACTTCTGATGAACATAACCAACTTCCATGTGACTGAAAGTAAAGCAAGGACATTTAACAAGGCAGCACTCTAAGGGCGAGATCCTTAGACTATACTGAATTTAACGGAAAGTCTCTTATTAACTTAAATGGAACTTGGATCAGAGCTAAATACTGTTACTTCAGTATTAATGTCTGGATGATGTCCATTTCA